GAGAGAGAGAGAGAGAGAGAGAGAGAGAGAGAGAGAGAGAGAGAGAGAGAGAGAGAGAGAGTGTTACATCTTCGACGCCACACGGGTGCTACCGGACCCGACTTAGGGCTAGAGGGACACAGCAGGGCCTAAAGGCCCGGACTTGGGGTGCAGCAGGCCGTAAAGGCCTTAGTTTTGGACCAGACCCGACGGGCAGGCCCAAACGACATTACCGTTTGGGCCTGGCGGCGCTTTTGAGGCTGCCGCCCGCCGGTGTGATCTGAACCGTCAATCTTGACGGTTCAGGTCACAGCCAGGCCTCGCAGCATTGAGGCCGGCCTCTTGGCCTCCGGTACTTATACCGGTACCAGCCTCATTGAGAGGCATCGAGCCACCGGCATGCTGCATCATGCCAGTGCGTATCGGTTGAGGAGCAGCGCTATTCTTAGCGCAGGAGCAGCAGCAGCAGCAGCGCCGAGGAGAGAAGCCAGACAGCGGACAGCCATCGCCGACTTCGGCTGCAGGCAGTTGCGACGGACCAGGTATCCGGGAGTGAGGTCTTCTCCTCCCTACACGGTCCCTGGCTCCCCTCTTCCTCACCTCCTCCTCCTCTATCTCATCTCTTCTTCTTCTTCTTCTCCTTCTTCTTCTTCTTCATCTTCTTCTTCTTCAGACTGGATACTAGTTGGACAGAGATCAGTGGTTGACTTCGGTGGTAAGAGGCTGTGGTACTTACCGGATTCGAGACTTGGAGATTGTTGGGGTTGATACTCGGCAGCATCACAGATTGGACACCGGTTACATTGGGACTCTGTACCTCCGATATTGGTGACTTATTGTCCATGACATTTGATCTTGTTCGATGACATTTTGGATTACCATATCGTTGACCTACTGGATTCTATCTCGGTGACATCTGGCGCTACCTACATCTCCCACCTCCATCTCTCCTCCCACCTTTCGTCTGTGTATGTGTGTACGGGGCCTGAGCATCTTCCATGATTGGCTCAGACCCCACCATCTCACGATTGTTTGTGTGTGGAGTGATATCTGTGTGAGTCAGTCTATGTGAGTCAGTCCATCTATCAGACTTCCGCTGCATACATGCTCATCCTATATTGGTTGATCTTTGGTTCTGCCCCATACTCGTTGAAGTATTCACGAGTATGCAACAGAGAGAGAAGGGGGGTGGGACTGTGCCAAGCTGTCCATTATGTGACTCTGACACGTGCTACGTTTCTTTTTTGCCTTTTGCCTTCCTGGAAATGTTCCAAGATGCACGCCAGGCATTATGGCTCCCATGTCAATGCTACTCCCGACAAGTCCCCCACACGAAGAGCAACTGCCAAGCAGATTGAATGCTGCTAATTGTTTCATCATTCATACAATGCAAAACCCCAGCTTCTTAATTGGAGGCGCCTTCCAACAACTTCCCCGGGCCAATCATCAATGTCATTGATGATTGGCCCGGGGAAGAGGGATATTGATCGCAAACCTGAGAGAACTCACCCACATGCGCATGCACTTGCACACATAGAGTCAAGACTTGGCAAGTAAGCAGGAGGCATACATGCAAGATCGCTTTATCACAAACATATTCAGAGAACATAGAAAACAAAAGTCTGAATCGGAATCTTCAGCAAAAACGTCAACGGGACTACGGACAGGATTTTCTCATTAAAGTTCACAGTTCTTGCACAGCACCAAAGAAAAACGATGCTGCAAAGGCAGCGGCTTCCCAAACAAAACACTCGCAGATAAGAAACAAAAAAAGTTCGGTGGTATTCCCTCCTATTTCTTGCACGCGGATTTCTGTATGCTCTCAGGCCCTTCTTTTTGTTTTTGTGAAAGAAGCGGCATATGATAGGGCAGTTCCTTATGCTTTTTCTTTCTTTTGTGCTTTTTAGTTTTCTGTTTTTGCGGGCGAAGCTGCAATGGGTCATCTAGTTGTTATTATGTTTTCAAATTTTAAAATCTGATTAAATGCTTTTGTATTTGTTGGCATGATTGCCTGGTTCCTCCTGCCCCCCCCGCACCCCCCGCACCCCCCCCCTCCCCCGCCTTCTTTGGATTTCTTCTGTCTTTTGCGGCTTATTTTGAATTTAAATGGTATTATGGTGATGTTTTTGGGTATGGTTAGGGTTCTACCTGGTTGGAGAATTGAACCAACTGCAATTATGTTAACTGCGATTTACTGGTTTCGGCTACTGCGATGAAATCAGGTGCTCCTGGTCTGAAAAGTGGCCAATGTGGGTACCCGAAAAAGAGTACCAGGTCTGAGTGGACCTGGTGTGGCAGGGGCCTAGCCGGGCCAGTGTGTGCATGTGTGCAAACGAGAGAGAGAGAGAGAGAGAGAGAGAGAGAGAGAGAGAGAGAGAGAGAGAGAGAGAGAGAGAGAGAGAGAGAGAGAGAGAG